AAAATGGAGACTGTATTCATTTGCTTTAGTTGCGGCAGAGCCGCCAATATCTAAACTTTACATTTTCCGCGTTAATATAGTAATACCTTATTAATATAGTAAAAGACAACTAGCATAGTAAAAACCAATTAATATAGTATGCATTACTACAGGCAATCCTGCCACGTAGTGGCTTCTTAATACGGTGTAGCCACACCATTGCGTAATTACACCGACCTGTGTAATCCACAACTATGACGGTCACACCATCTTGTGCGACCTGCCCTTTCATACAAGGGTACGTGTAACCCCATTACACTCTCCCCCATCAAAATTGTGATTTTTTACAGTTTACATTTAGCTGTCGCCTCATACGAGGCTCGCGTGTCTGAGACATTGTTATGTTCTTAAGGTCAGCCTTGAACATTCTCCGCTCAATGAGCCCTGTGTCAATGACACGAAAAACACTTAGTCTAGCTGTTTCCGAGGGCGCCCACGGACAAAGCCCTTCTTCTTCTGCAAGGGATGCGTCTCCGGACAGTATGTCCGCGGCTTCACGGGAAGCACATCCCAAGCTTTAGACAACTGAGCGCCACACACCGCGCCCGGCCCAGGCAACGGATTTCCTCGTCGAGGAGTTGGAGGAAGTCGACTACGAGTCGGACACTCCTTTCCCAGCATGGGACGACGAGGAAGATGAAGTGCGCCGACGGCGCGACGTGAGCACAGCTCAAACCCCGCGGAGACCATGCCCGTTCCCCGATCTCTCGGCTTCTGGTGGAAGTGATATCACTACCGATCCCCTCGACGACGCACAAGAGCAGCAATTAAAGGCTTCCCACAGGGCGGCTTTCATGGGCTCGTATCGACATTCGGTCCTAGAGCCTCGTGTGGAATACGGCTTCTGCTCGGCGGCCCCTGCTACCTGAAGCGAAAGACGCAATTACTCGATCGTTAGACGTCTACGTAATCGGGCCCTTAGTCATTGAATAAGCTAAAGTTGACCAGCGAAAAGCTCTCCAAGCTCGCTTTTTGGTACCCTAAGAAATCGCGATGGATAGGTACCGCACTCGACTTCGTGCTCATAGAGGAGGCGCTCTTGTATCCGTGATGCGGACGATTCCTTTTGGTATTCGCCTGGCGCTGCAGATGAAGAAGAGCCTTTTAAGCGAAGGATGCAGCGGCACCGAAAACTTTCCTCGCTACCCAACTTATAGCGGAGCCACAAGGAGGTACAGGAGTTCGCCAAACTCAAGGCGGACGCCGACTTCCTATGCATTATCACCTTGCGACTTATGATTTGATCCATCACGCTCCCGCGAGCTCTGTGGCTACTGCCGAGAAGCGCGGGGCGCATGAGGCCGCGAAGCCCTTTGATCTTAGTCGTACACGACTTCTGAGCAGTCTTGCCGAAATGCACCTCAAACTTCCACGAGTTCTCGGAGTTTGTGTATCCCAACCACTTCGCAAGATATTGAATTAGACCCTGTCAACGACGTCGACCGACAAGGCGTTCCACGTGGTGGTGGTTGCCACAATTCTCATCTAGATGAGTCGGCGGCGAGCGGTAACGACTTGGTCGATCGTCGTTCGGTGACTCGTGAGGCTGTTCGAGAGTTAAAGAACAATTTCCGTCGTCATCAGCGCTCTACTAAGCACCCTGCCGAGGTCGTCTTCGCTGTGCGTAAGACCTCGAGATCCTGGAGCACTTCGTACACCGACTTCCTCACGTCGAGGGTTATCGCGCTCTGTCGTAGCAGCTCCTGGACGTCGAGCAGACGAATACGTCACTTCGTGCGACGATGGAGCGTCTTGCGCCGTTGGAGATGGAAATTGTTGCACTCCGTGCTTAATAAATATTTGCTGATTCAGCTTCTGGATGACCGAGCGCCTTTGAGTGCCGCCTTGGAGCCAACGCTTCCGCGTTCACTTGCGCTGAATCCCGGGACGGCTTAGGCAAGCCCAAATGAAACATCGAGTGGGACGCATACTTCTTGGAAGGTCCAGCGTATACGCAAGGTCTCGCTTAGCGACGGCCTAAAACAGTCCAATCTCAATTTTTTCAGTATTTCTTCTTCTTCCGCTTGCATATTTATTCTGCATGTCTTGACTTTCAGCCATCTCATTGCAAACGTGTCGTAAGACACTCAGTCTGGTACGCCGGAATTCTCTGACTTCCTTACAAACGGTGAGGAAGCTGACATTAGCTTGTCGTTCGGCTATTCTTCCCCCACCAAGCCCTGATCCATGTGATTGTGGCGTCAGCGGGACGAAAGGGTTAACAAGCCCGTTTACGTAGAACGGCGTGTTGCCGGCAGATGACTGCACCGCAATATTCAGAGCGAACTCACGAGTAGCAACGTGGCGCTCCAGCGCTTCGTCTCATCGCAGACGCTACGAAGAACATCTTCAACGACGCTATTCACGTGCTCAGTCTGACCATCGGTGTACGGATGGGTTGTTGTTGTCATATCCAGCTTGGTGCC